ACAACACTTTGCGAAGGAAGTCTTCTTTGAGGTCGGCTTTTCCGGGTTCTCGCCAAAGATCTAGACATATTAGTGGAAGTATGTCTGTTTCTGTGTGTGCGTGTGTTTGTTTGTGCACACGTGTGCGAGTGTGTTTTGTGCGTGTGTGTGTTTTGTGTGTGTTTTGTGTGTGTTTGTGTGTGTCTAATTGTGTGCGCACTGCAAAGTTGTTAGAAATACCCAAATAGTGTATTGCCAGTAGCAATAACATTACCGGCTTTAAAATGTACCGTTACTAATCTTTGCCAGCAGTACCAATGCTTTTGTATTTTTTAAACGATAGCAAATTCGGTAGTTAACACACAACTTGAAAATGATTCATTTGTTCATTTTCTCCATTTTCCCCATCAGTCAATCCACTAATCCCTAACTTCCAGGTTGCAACTCCCAGCAGCTTCAGGTCCACCAGCCGCAAATCCAGCTCCTGTCGATCCCGCAGTTGGATTCCATCCAGCGGACGCTGAGAATTCTGGATGTGCGTCTGCAGCACGTTCAGAATAGTAGTAGAGAGGATGAGAAAGTTCGCGACGATATTGACCACATAAGGAAGTTGATGTCCGAGAATCAAAACGCTCTCTTGACTGTGGTTAGTTGGTTGATTGGTGAGTCGCAAGTTACTTGACAAATCAATCAATCGATCAATCAATCAGCCAGTCAATCAATCAATCAATCATTCATTCATTCAATCATTCATTCACTCACTCACTCACTCACTCACTCACTCACTCACTCACTCACTCACTCACTCACTCACTCAATCAATCAATCAATCAATCAATCAATCAATCAATCAATCAATCAATCAATCAATCAGGTAACAGTTCTTTCCTCAATACAAGAGGAGGTGCGCAGACTTAGCATAACAGCCCACCAGGGCAGCACCTTCATGCCCTACCAAATTCACCCCCCACCCTCGCTCCTGCACAACAGACATATGTCCATATCGTCTGCTAGTGGCCACGGTTTGTAGTAGCAGTGGTAGTGGCGGTAGTAGTCGTAGTAGTGGCGGTAGTGGTAGTAGTAAGTAGTCGCTGTTTTCATTATAACAAAAGGAAATCATATATATATATATATATATATATATATATATATATATATATATATATATATATATATATATATATATATATATATATATATATATATATATATATATATATATATATATATATATATATATATATATATATATATATATATATATATATATATATATATATATATATATATATATATATATATATATATATATATATCCTCTTCTATTCATAATCTTCATGAACGATTTTCAACATGCAACTGATGCAAATCACCTTCTATATGCAGATGACACTAACATCTTCTTCCCAACTAAAGACCCATTGAAAGAAGTAGAATACATCAATAACAGTCTTCAAAATATATCAACCTGGTTTATCAAAAATAAATTAATAGTAAATTATTCTAAATGTAATTACATTATTTTTGGTCCGAAAATTTTAACAAATATTATACCTAACCTAGACATAAAAATGAACAATATTTCTATTCCTCGCTCAACCAGCACAAAATTCCTTGGAGTAACAATCAAGGACAATCTTTCTTGGGATATTCACATAGATACTATGTCTAAAAGAATATGCAAAACCCTAGGAGTTATAAGCAAAATTAAAAATAAATTAAATAAACCTACTCTAATTGACCTGTATTATTCGTTAATCTTTCCTCACCTCATCTACTGCAACGTAATTTGGGGAAACAGTCCTGACATTCATCTAAAACAGTTAACAAAATGCCAAAACCGATTCATCAGAATATTTAAAAATCTTCATCCTCATTGTCACACAAGTGAATATTATCTCGAGATGAAAATACTCAACATCAAAAACTTGTTCATCTACCACGTTGCAACATTCATTTTTAGATTTCTACGTCAGCAATTGCCGGCATTTTTTAGAAACTTTTTCACTTTTGGAACTTCCATTCAAGCAAGAATTACACGCCACACGCCACTTTTCTATGCTCCACCAGCCAGAATTAAAGTACTTTGCATGAGTTTGAAACATACCGGCCCAGGAATATGGGAGACGATTCCACAAGAAATTAAAGATTGTAACACTTTGCATCTTTTTAAAAATAAACTGAAAAATTTTTTAATTACGAAAAGTTCTGTTTTTCAAGGATAATAATGTATATGTATATATATGTATATAAGTGTGTACATATTTCATTAACATTGATACATTTTCTCCTATTGACAATTTTATTTTATCATTGAGAAGCAATTTTGAGCTGCACGGTGGCCGACCCCACAAGAATTAATTTTCTTTTTTTGGTCTCCGAATCATTCTTGCTTTTGTTTTGTTTGATTGAATAAAAGTGATTTATTTTGATTTGATATATATTTTTTTATATTTATTTTCCCCGATCCATCAACCAACCATCTTTTATTTTTTAATTTTAGCCACGCCTACAAACACCCTAGCCCGTCGAATCAGAGCGACCAGGACAACAGTAGCAACATCAACAACGCTTTTTTCGGCAACAGCCCAACTGCACCAACAACAACAACAACGCACGAACATCAGCTAAAAGACATGGGCCAGTCGCTGCAGCAATTCATACAACAACAACAACAACAAAAACAACAGCAGCAACAAAAACAGCAGCAACAACAACAAAAAACATCTTCAAGTAGAAAAAATCGCCGACTCCTAGCTTCAACATCCTTCCAACAACAAGATAACAGCACAACATATTTAAACAAATCCCTTCGTGGTTCACTAACATCAGTAGCCCGAACAGCAACCACAGCAGCCACAACATCAAACACGAACGACAACGTCACCTTCACGTGGAGGTGGTAGCAGTATTGGAGCTGCTGGAGCGACGACAGCAACTTCAGCAGCGACGAAAATGACGTCATCTCTAACGAGTATGAATGTAGTACCGCCACCAGTTTATAGAATTGAAGAACCCGAATTCGATTGATGTTGTTGTTGTTGCTGTTGATGTTGTTGTTGTCGTTGTTGCTGATGTTGTTGTTGACGTTGTTGCTGATGTTGTTGTTGAAGTCATTGTAAAAAGCTATGCAATAACAATCATGAAAATTTATGTATCGGTTATAAATAAAAATGTTATAAACAACAACAACAATCATAAAAACAATGCTGCTACTTCTACTACTACTACTACTAATAATAATAATAATCTGTCATACTTTTTTGGTAAAAGTTAAAGAACAACTCATGTAAATGAAAAAAAATCGTTTCAAACATTCATTCACTCATTTACCTATTCATCCATACATCATTCGTTCATTTGTCCATTCACTTATTCAATCATTCATTAATACTTTCGTTCGTTCGTTCGTTCGTTCATGCACTCATTTATGTATATATGTTTTAATACCAACGCGAATATTCAACGAAAAGCCTAGATAGCTCTAATAAGCAATAAATGAATGAACGAACGAATTAATGAATGGATAAATGAACTATTTATTTATTGAACAAATTAAGTAAAGATGAATGAACATAGCAAGAATTGCGGGGGTAGACGAATGAATGAACGAATGAACAAATGAACAACGAATAAATGAATGAATGAGTGAATGAATGAATGAACAAACGAACGAATGACTCGAAATCGTCGTTTTTTACTAATATTGTAGCATTAACTTTCGTTCAACGTCGTCAACCTAATTATGACTATAATTTATATTATTATTATTTATAATATTATTATTTATGTTATTACTGTTATTATTATAATTATAGTTTAATAATAATATTATTGTTATTCTGTTATGTTTCGATATATTAAAACCGAACTGGAAAAAATTTGTTCAATTTTTGTTTCGAAAAACTCAAAAACATAATTTGATAATAAAATGAAAATAATAATAATAACAATAATAATATCAACAATAATAATAAAGCGTTTTACACGATAAACAAGAGAAAAATAAAAAGAAGAATAACTATCGCATTGTCAATCAATCAATCAATCAACAAATATGCCAATCAATAATTCACTTATTTATTCATTCAAACATTTATTCATTCATTCAAATATTCATTCATTCGTTCGTTCGTTCAGTCACTCTAAAAAAATATTTGAAAAAACAAAGCAATGCAATATCATGATATGAATAAAACTAATATCGTCATGATTATTTCTCTCTCTCTCTCTTTCTCTCACTCTCTTTTTCTCTCTCTCTCTCTCTATATATATATATATATATATATAGTTAGATTACGTCAAAAAGATTATAAATCGTTGTGAAGATAACATAACATTGTTTTTCAAAAAACTTTTTGATTAAGTCAAAATTAAGGAAATTAAATGTTTAAAATTTTTATTAAAACTCAATGGAAATCTAACTACACTGTATATGAAAAAGAAGGAACGATAGATTGATTGAATGAATGAATGAACGAATGAATGAACGAATGAATGAACGAGTAAATATTTGAATGAATAAATGAATGAATGAACGAACGAATGAATAAATAGAAGACACAAATGAACGAAAAAATATAAATGAAAGATTGAATGAACGAATGAACAAACGAATAAACAAATGAATGAAAGAAAGAACGAATGAATAAAAAACTGGCCGCCGAATAAAAGAAAAAAAATGAATGAAAGAATGTCATAGATTAATAACAACATGTTATATGAATGTACATATGTTTATGTTACAAATTACTCTCTTCTCCCTCCTCTCTATCTCTTTCTCTCTCTCTATATATATATATAATATATATATATATAAGCTTCTAGGCATGGAAACACAGTTAAAGACAAATAAATAAATGACATTAATTTGGTTATAACATGTCAATGAAAATATAATTATTATTAGTATAATTATAACTGTTGTTGATAATGTAACTATAATAACTATAATGACCAAGTTATGATATAAAAATAAATTGGTTAATTGACCAAATAATTAATTAATTAATTGATCAATTAACTCAAAAAAAGAACAATGTCATGAATGATGGTCAAACAGTCAAAATTGAATCAAAGTATAAAAAATAAATTATATATTTATTCTACTCTCTCTCTCTCTTCTACTCCCTCTCTCTCTCTCTCTTTCTCTCTATCTGTTCCCTATATTCTCATTCTCTCTACATCTCAATCATTTTTCTTTCATTGTCGTTCTCTCTCTCTTTCTATTTCTCCCTCTTCTTATATCTGGCTTTGCACATTAACTAATTAATTAATTAATTAATTAATTAATCAAAACAATCCAGATTAGTATAATCAGTAAAATTATTATTATTTTAATGCCATTGTTAATTAAAAATATCTTAAAAGGGCAGTGAGAATAGACCAGTTGAGTCGCGAACCTGGCATCAATTTAACAACAACAATAGTAGTAGTAGCAGCAGTAGTAGTTGTAGTAGTAGTAGTAGTGGTAGTAGTGGGGGTGGTGGTAGTAGCAGCAGCAGCAGTAGTAGTAGTAGTAGTAGTAGTAGTAGTAGTAGTAGTAGTATAATGATTATAGTAATTATATCATGCAAGGTCGTTAATATTGTGTAGTTATTTTACCTATTTACAATGATATATGCACACGAAAAATGAAAATAATTAGAAAAAGAAAACCGACATACACACAAACATACATATATACATACAAACATACATTCATACACACAGACAAACAAACAAGCCAGCATACATGCATACATACATTCATACAAACAAACACACATACATACATACACACATACATACATAAATATGAGCGTACATACATATATAAAACTAATTTAAACACTGTTTAACTGCTATTTGCATATTTCTTCTCTCTTCATCACCATAATCATCCCAATCATCACCATCATCATCAGCAGCAGCATCATTATTAGACTCTCTCCAGGGCATCAACATCTCTAAGTTGACCTTTCAACTTTGTAAGGGACTTCCTGACTCTTAGCGAGGTCAAACGGGCTGCCGGAATGACACTCCAGCACTCCATCATAATATTCGTGTATGACCTCATTATCTGTATGCATGTGTGTGTGCGTGTGTGTGTGTGTGTGTAAGTCTGTATGTATGTTTGTGTTTGTATGTCTGTAAAAAGCCTTTAGAGAAAAAATGATTCCAAAAGTTTTAAATTAAAATTAGAACTAATGCAAAAAAAATTAAGGTCAATCAGGCTTGACCTTTGAACCGACCTCATTAAGCATCCACCTCTGCATGACGTGGGGTCGTGATCCGTTCACGCAGACGACCCTTTTCATGTCGTCGAAGCTCGGATCGCCTCCGACCATATCGTAATATGGGGCCTGGTATTCTTCCACCGGACCTGACGATCATGATAACGATGATGTCCATCAGACAGACAGACACACACACACACACAGACACAGAGAAAAAGAAAGGGAGAAAGAGAGAGAGAGAGAAACACACACACAGAAACACACAAAACCCACCAAATGCGTTGCACCTCCAGGCCAGCTCCCACATAACCAGAGCCATGGAGTACATGTCAGCTTGCTTGAAAGATTCAAAGTGACCCTTCTCCATACTTTCATCGAGGACCTCTGGGGCCATGTACCTCCTCGTACCCTGTCTCGTGTTCAGGGCGATGTCCAGTTCATTTGTGTCACTGTTGGTAGGGGGGGTACGGGGGGTTAATTAAGGGGTGTCATTTTGAGGTTGCAAGAGAGTAATTTGAAATTACTTAATAGAAAATTGACTCATAATAATTAGAAATAATAATAATAATTAATAATTATTATAATAATAATTATTATTATTAATAATAATAATATATAGGCCAAGGAATGACCTAATAAATCGAACGGCCAATCCCAGATCAGCAATGCAACAGGTTAGATTCTTCTTCACCAGTATATTTTTGCTCTTTATATCTCTGTGAGCTATTGATGGCTTGCCTGTGTGTGAGTGTGTGTGTGTTTGAGTGTGTTTGTTTGTATGAGTGTTTGTTTGTATAAGTGTTTGCATGCGTGTATGTACGTCTGTGTACATGTCCGTATGTTTTCACAGATACAGATGTGTATGAGTGAGAAAATAGGAGTGTAGAAGCCTGAAAAAAGGAGAAAATAATGTTATTCTCGTCATCATATTCTCTATAAACTGTCGCCTTTCTACTTTAGACTATTCTAATGTAAATTCTTTACTCGTAGCTTTAACTTTACATCCTCGTACAAATTGTTACACGAAATCTATCTGCTTATTTGGGCCCAATTATCTTAGCATCCATTCATTGACTTTTGTTTATTCTAACTGAACTGTAATTCTATTTATTATAGTTATATTCTAAATTGATTCAATTTCGATTTGAAGCCGCCTAGAAGATATCAATTGTTACTAAGGATGAGTCTAATAATTCATTTTTTTATGGAATAAAATTGTTTAAAGAAAGAAATATGAATAATTGTTTGGTAAAACTCAATTTAGATCACACACCACACACACGCGCGCGCGCGCACGCACACACACACTATTTCACACTATTAAAAAATTTCAAACTTACAACATACAACCACCGTGAAATAAACTAAAACAAAGGAATCAAAATAAACTCCAGATAATCCAAAACAATCCCAACAGCATCCCAAAAAATCCCCACCCTGTGTCCCGTGAATTTCAGTGTGTAAATGGGTCAAGCCACTGATAGCCGAAACGGCCATCTTTATTAACGTAACTAGGTCAAGAGTATGTTGGTGAAGGTAGTCGTAGAGGGAGCCATACTCATGGTAGTCCATGACAAGGAACAGTTGAGTCCATGAACCAGTGCCCTTGATGTCTGAAGCTATGAAACCTGTGCGCGTGTGTGTGCGTGTGTGTGTACGTGCGTGTGTGTGTGTGCGTGTGTTACAAGAGAAGAACTGCCAATCAATCAACAAACATACCAACCAACCAATTAATCAATCAACTGGCCCATCAAACCAACCGGCCAAGCAACCGACCAAGCAACTGGCTCACGAACCAACCCAAAATATTTTCATGCCTCAGCAGAACGGTTTGGTATAGTTGAATCTCCCTGGACCAGCTGGCCTCCTCTGTGGAGAAAAAGATTTTCACGGCCACATTTTCATCCCTCCACTTGGCTTTCCATACTTCCCCGTATCGACCCTTCCCAATGCTATGCACCAAGTGTATTTGTTTGGCTATTGTCCTTTGGACCTGTGAGTTTTTGTGTTTGTTTGTTTGTATGTTTGTTTGTATGTTTGCTTGCCTATTTATATGTATATCTGTATGCATGCATGTTGGTCTGTTTGAATTAGGAACAACATTCAACACAAGAAATACAAACAAAACAGAAACAGACACACATACAAAAACTAACCAACAAAGGTAGACCAGACCCACTACCAGAACTGGCACCTCCGCATCCACCCGCACTACCCCCTATACCACCCCCTACACCCGCCACCTCGTTGATGTTGTTGACCTCAGAGTCAAAGTTCAAACAATCCTCTCGATCTTTAAGAAATTTCATGCACTTTTCGTGCTTCTTGAATCTGCAGTCAGTGTAATAGTCATTAACATAATTACATACAATAACATCAATAATAAAAAATAGTAATTATAATTATGAATAACAATAAAAATAATAGTAATAATAATAAATAATAATACCCACTTTATAAAGAAGAGTATAGTTACAATGATGATCGAGATCACTGAAATCCCAATACACAGTAAAACCACTTGGATTAGTTTTGTGGAATCCACATCTCCTTGATCGCCTAATTTTAATGAAGAGTAAATTTATTATAATATAGCATTATATTTAAATAACAAAACTAACAATACCAACAATAATAAAAATAATCTTAAAGTTCGACCCTGACCTTGTAATTTTATCAGAGGAATCGGATTAAGATGATCATTACAGAGATCTTCATTGTTACAGCATTCAATTGCTTTGGGGATTTCGTGAGGGAACGAACTACCTTTACACTAATTAAATGTAATTTATTATTATTTTCATTTTTATTCGATCCTAATCCAATTTTTAAATATATCTTCTTTCACTCAACTAACTTGTAGGATAACCCCAGTTTCATCATCATCTGCTGGAGCCATGCATCCATACATGTAAATTTCTGTCTCGTCCGGTTCTAGTAGAACTGACGTGAAACACATTCCGCCTAATTTCAATTCGCAGGTCGTGTTCAGAAGATCTTCGTTGCATGGGTTGCAACGACATCTTAGACATGTTGCAACTAGTGATTGAGATTCAATTTTCATTTTTAAAAATTTAGTTTTTGTGATTTTATCATTTGCAAGCAAAATTGAAAATAAATCATAAAAAACAGTGAAAATCCTACCTAAAGGAAAACTTATTAAATTAAAATTAAAAGTTAAAACTTAAAATTAATTAAATCAAACGTTAATTAAAATTTGTAAATCAAGACACAACTGCTGTAAGCTTGCATAATTGAAAATAATTTACTAAAACTAACCTTGGAAAATATAATTTACAGAATAAATATAGAAGAAACAATTTAATAAGAAAGTTTTCACAAAATTTCTGTCCTCCATTTGTTTGTTTTTATTGTTGTCCAGGACATTTTGGCACCTAGATAATTTCGGCAAACATTTTAAAAATTATGTAGCGTTGAATTTTTAAGTTTTTATGAAAAATTTTACTAATTTAGATAACATAACATAACAAGGATTATGGTGGTTCAGTAGATATCTCTGTGTGAGAACCACCGGATCAATTTTGGGAATCAATATAGATTTAAAATCCCATTTTTGTCTACAATTATACCATGGTCCCTTTCCTCCAATGAAACCTTTAGAAGTCTGTCTCCAAATTCTAATATATTTTGCTTGTTTTTTGTCCATATGTGAATGACGGAAGATAGGAGTTATAAGTTTTTATACTATGAAACAAGAAACTTTTTTAATGTGTATTTTATACGTATCTCTACGAACGCATCTCTTAAACTGATGACCACCGAGAATTCATGGTATCGCAGAT